ACCAACTGCATTAGAAATTAAAAAAATTATTAACAAATGGTATAATAATATTATTGATAAGAATTATGACAAAGAATTAAAGATGATATTATAGATTTTTATATAGCAGATAATGATATAAAATGGAAATCATTATCAGTTTCTAAAATAATTAATAATGAAATTATTACAAAAATTACTTTAAATTCAGATCCAATTTATACTAAAAAATTTAATAAGATTTTAGATAAAAATGATTTAAATGAAATTAATGAAACTTTAAATCAAAATAACTTAAATAAAATTCAAGAACAAGAAAAATATTTTCGTAATTATAAATATTCAGAATTTAAAAATATACAAAAAATAGGTGGTACATTTACAAGAGTTTATCGTACTAATTGGAAATATACAGACAATTTTTTTATATTAAAATCATTTAATTATTTTAATAATAAAATGATTGAAGAAATTATAAATGAGGTATATTTGTTTAATTTATTATATAAAATTTTTAATTAAAGTATTATTATAAAAATTAATTTATATTATTTATATTAATTTATAGTTAAAATTACAACAACAGATAAAATTTCATCCAAATATTATACAATTTTATGGAATTACAAGTATAAAAATCGGTAAAAAAAAAATTATTTAAAGTTAATATTACTATTGATTTTATTTCTTTTAATTTAAATATATTCTTTAATAAAGGTGAAGAAAATAAGTATACTTTTGTATTGGAATATGCTGATAGCAATTCATTAAATTTTTATTTGAATAAATATATTGATATTCTTAATTGGAAGAAAAAATATAAATTAGCATTACAACTTACAAATGCTATTTTATTTTTGCATGAAAATAATATTATTCATTGTAATCTGGTAATATATTTATTATATAAATTATTTTATATACTTTAATTTGTTAATTTAATTAATTATATTTTTTTTATATATAATCATAGAATGCAATGAATATATTTATACATCAAAAAAATATTAAATTATCAAATCTGGGTTTATCAAAAATAAATAATAGAAAATTAAATATGATAACACCTTATATAGATCCAAAGCATTTAAATGATCAAAATTATAAATTAAATAATAAATCTGATATTTATAGTATTGGAGTTTTGATGTGGCAAATTTCAAGTGGATGTCGACCAATTTATAGTGAAGATGATATTTTACAAGGAAGAAGAGAAGAGATTATTCATGGTACACCAATTGAATATAGTAATTTATATACAAGTAAATAATCTTATTATTATTTGATAAAGCATATTTTTTATATATACTAATTTAATTATCTATTTGTTTAGAATGTTGGAAGTATGAACCAAATGAACGTCCTAATATAAAGCAAATTGTTAAATATTTAGATAAATTAAATTCATCAGAAAGAGATATTGAAATTGATAATTTTCAAAATGATAATCAAAATGATAATGCAATTAAATGGATTAAAGATGCTTTAGATAATGAAAAGGTTAAATTTATACCTTTTGATCAATTGGAAAAACCTAAACCCCTTAATACTGGAGGTTTTGGTTGTATTTTGAAAGCAAATTGGATTAAAACAGGAAATTGTATTGTTTATAAAAAACTAACTAATATAGCATCTATTAAAGGTAGTATACTAGATGATTTTATACATGAATTAAAAATAAATTTACAAGTTGATTATTGTGATCGAATTGTTCGTTGTTTGGGTATTAGTCAAGGTAATTTAATAATAAGTCTATTATTAATAAATATGTTTCATTCAATAATAAAAGTTTATTTTTATAGACCATAATACAAACGAATATCTTCTTATAATGCAATATGCTAATGATGGTGATCTTCAAAATTATCTTGAAAAGAATTTCAAAAGTTTAACTTGGATTAATAAGAAAAAGTTAGCATTTCAAATCGCCGAAGGATTAAATTATTTACATAATGAAAATATCCTACATAGGGATCTTGTAAGTTTTTACTTATTTGTTTTATTATTAAAATTGAATAAATTATTTATTTATTTTGAATATAGCATTCTAAAAATATACTTATTCATGATGGTAATGCTAAAATTACGGATTTTGGTATTTCAAAAAATATGAATACTGAAAATATTAGTAGACATATCAGATGCGGTAGGATTCCATATGTAGATCCAAAAATGCTTATAAATCTCGAGTTCCAGTATATTAGAGCTTCGGATATCTATAGTTTTGGTGTATTGATGTGGGAAATTTCTAGTGGAGATCCTCCGTTTAAGGATAAAATTAGTGAACAAACAGCACTTTCTCTTGCTATTGTTCAAGGAACTCGTGAAGTCACTATAGATAATACTCCTAAAGATTATGAAGAACTTTACCAACATTGCTGGGATTCAGAACCTGAAAAAAGACCGACTATTAAAATTATATTAGAAAAAATTAAAAAAAATGAGTATTGAAGAGCTTCATCAAAAATATTTAGATTCAAATCCTGAAAGAAAACCGACTATTATTGAATTATTAAAAGTATCTAAAACAATGGGGCTACCTTTTGAAGATCTCTGTCAATATTTTGACCCATGTCCTGAGAAAGCGGAAATAAATGCCTTAACAGAAGGTATGTATTTTAATATGTTATGTTATTAATTTAACCTTAATACTAAATAAATTAAATATACTGCATTCCTACAGAAAATAGTAATTTGATTCCAAAAATGCAAACCGATGAATTAGATATAGAAAGCATTCAATTAGATACATTTTCTGATTTAAGCAGTTAAGTTATTTAATTATACGTCTTTATAAAAAAACATACACTAATTGATTTGAATTTATTTATTAGTTGTTAAGTTCCGTAATATTTTATTTTAAAAAATACCAGAAGTCTTTTATAATTTTATATATTCATATATTATATATTATATAACAAAGATATTTTATTTAAATATTAAATAAATATTGGTTTATCAATGCTATTATTAAATTTATTTTAAAGTGAAATGTAGTTTTAAAAAGTTTGATAACAATTAAATCTGTAATTTTTTTTTGCTTAAAATGACCAAGTAATCTTCGGGTTTGTAAATTCGAATGTAAATTAAACTTCAAGCAAAATTACAGAAACATGCTTTATTATAATAATAATCACGATCTTGGTAAAAAAAATTAATATAGTTTGCTAAATAAAATAATTAACATAAAATTTTCGTATTCTTAATTATGAATTTATTCCCAAAAATTGCACTTCCTAACATAAACTTGCATACTCTTCAATAGATCAAACAACTACTTTTAGAAGCAAGGCATTTTTGCAAATATTGTATATTGCTGATGTTAAAAGACTTGTTAAAGATTTATTCCTTAATAATGTAAATATGATTTGCGATTACAATTTTGCCTTTATTTTAACAATATCTATATAAGTGAGAATTGAATTATGGAAATGTTAAAAATTGTTTATTCCTAATTTTCTTGGTAAAGAAGATGGCGATTTTATCTTAAATTAATTGATAATAAATCAATATTATTTGCATAAAGAAGGTATTTAAATGCAAAAAGAACGAACGTATTCGAAAGTACGACACTACAAAACTACCGATCATCAGATATCATATTGTTAATAAAGTTAAGAATCATGTCTTGAGCTCCACATATAATTTAAATTTTTTAGTTCTCAAAGATTCATGGCATTAATCTGTAATTTTGGCATGTATAGGTTACAAAACATTCCTAATTATCTTAATTAATTGTTAGTGTTTAAAAATAATTTATCAAAATGAAGAAACAAATTTACCATTTGGTAAAAAAAAAATCTTTTGAAGCATTATTTCTTCGTGCGTTTCACTATTTGATGACGAAAACAAATACTTTCTAAAGTTCATTCTAACATAATGATGTGGTATTTTTTGTATAGAACGATAAAGTAATGAAATGTTTAACTATTTGAAATCGTTGCTTAACTAAGTTATCTGAATAAAGGTGTTAGATCATTCAAAATTATAAAATGAGTTCGGATAGTTGCATAAAATTTACATTATAAGTAAAAGCCATTAGTTTACTAGTCGAATTTTATAATGGTATAAATATAGCCGAGTAGTACTTAGCCACTAGAAATCATGTATAAAAAAAATTTATGAAAATAACGTTTCCTTCATTTACACATACAGAATATCTTGCATGTTATATATTTTCTAAATACATTATAAATTTCTCGTGAGAATTTTGCTTTGCCGCCACAATTCGTATTTACCATGTGTTGAATCCGAAGAAATTTTCAATGAAAAGTACGGAAAAATTTTTAGGATAAACTTGAACTCGACCCGAATGAGACAAACAAAAAAAAAAATATTCGGTTGAATTCGATTATAGGATTAATTCGAATTTTTAATGGTAAGCACATATTTATTTGTTTAAGATCAAACTAGATAATAGATAATATGTAATTATAATTAAATATGATAAAATGTAAATGGAAAAAAATAACAAGTTAAAAATGACATAGATTTAACTAATTTATTATATAAAACTTTTCATTTGACGGTGAAAAATGAATGACGTTCATGCAAACATGAAATAAAATGTTTTTAGAGTGGCATTTTTTAATAGTTCAAATAAAATTAATAAAATATTTTATCAAACCAGAGAAGTTTAGGAAAAGCTCAAGCCTCTTAGAAATTGGAGAGGTGAATAACCATGAATATTACATTTATCATATCAAAACAATGTATAGGCGGTATTAACGACTGCATTTGATTAATTTTATTTGCAAAAAATGTATCTAGAGAAATCACGTTATTGTTTTATCAAACGAGGATATTATTATTTAGTTAAAGGAATTCTCTTCGATCTCCTTTCGAAAAGTTCTAAAGATTGCGAAACAATTAACAATTTTACCAAAAGAACGTTAAACGGACACCAGCAAGTAAAAAAGTAATATTATCTGCATCATTATGTAAATACAAAGTTTGTAAAAGCATTCTGCCTATATGCTTCGCATCTGGAAAAGGACTTTGAGTTGTGGATGCTCAAGTATAATAAAAGTTTAAGTCAAGCTAAGGTATATCTACGGTATTTAAAGGAATTATAATTTAACTCGAAATAGACCAATTGTATTGTACCCAAATAATCAACAGTGATATAATTTTAGGAAGTTATTCAAAACACGTATATTTTTATTACTATATTTCTAACGACAACCGGTACGTCTGTGATCTTCATCAATCAGTAGTCCAATCTTAATATTTAAATTTTTTTGCCATTTAATAAACATATTCAAAAGGTTAAATTAAAATTAACAAGATTAATTTGACTATGTCATCCTATCATACAAAATACTTTTGGTAACACAATCACAATTTGTGCTTTTTATTTATGTTCATTATTCTTTCCTTCCTTCAATACAATTTTGTAAATTAAATTTAAAAACAAACTTTAACTGCATATCCAAAATATTCCATTTCATAAGATAAATTTTGATTGATGGTGCCATTTTTAAAAACTTATTTTTAAAAATTATCGTTGAGGAAAACACATCGAATGCGAGATCTGAATTATACTACTTTTTTTGCATTTATCTTATTAATCGCATAATAACCTTTAGGGCCTAAGAGGAAAGATGTGCAGCAAACTGAAGTTGAGGTATTGTCATCAATACCTAAACCCAGTGTTGGACAATTATCTAATTTCAAAATCCAATTACCGTATATTACTATGATTTGGAAAGAGTACCACAACTACACGCACTCCAAATTTAGTCAAAAGTTGGACTTCATTTTTTGAAAACGTTCAATCTCATCAATTATTAATCATTTAAGAAATTTCATTAATATGATTGTGTAAATGAAACTCAAACGAAGAATATATAAGATATATTCCTGAAATCTAAATTCGATTACGCCAACCAAGAGAAAGAAGGGGTGGACTTACAGGGAGGATCACGTTAAGGGAGAATCAGATTTCATCTGCAAACAATATGGGAACGTTGCCAGTAAAATCAAGTAATGAGATATAGTAAATCATATGATCCGTAATGTAATTTTACTGGTTATAGTTTGTTCAAATGAATAATTGGAAGTTGATCACTCGCTTTATGAAAATTATGATGTTCTTTGAAATATAACGAAACAATTATTTTAAACACGAGAAAAATTCCGTTTTAGACGTTTTGCGATAGATTTTTGGGTATTCGGTTGTTAATAATTTGCAATATGGGATACTTTCAGTACAATCAAAACTGGTTCCTTCGAAGGCCCAAAGATGATCCACGTGTCCTTGAAATTTCTTAACATTAATAGACAAACAATAGCAGAATCCTTCAATTTTTAGATGCTTTACTTATATAAAATCTATCTAGAAAGCTGCCTAGAGGTTGGAATCGGTTAAATTTGAACCGGTTCCAACCTCAACGTAAAAATTCCAGGTACGTAGAAACTTTTTATCGTTTAAAATGTATACATCGAATAATGTAAAGAAAAGGTTCGGTAACATATATTCATGTTCCGGCAGATTGTGAACGTTCATACAGCAAATTATCATCATGAAGCATTAGATGTTTCAAAATAAATTTTAAAAATGAAATAACTAATCTTTTATTTGACAAACAAAAAAAATCTTGAAACATTATTTCGTCGGGCGTTTCTATGTTATATGACGAGAAAAAGTTTTCTTAGAATCTGAGGATGTCGTACTTTTTAATGCTTAGAAAGTATAATACTATAATTCGAGTGATTAGCGAGATTGTAATAAATTAATTGCAAATATCTTAATATAAAATCAGTATTCAAATATCTTCAAACTAAAAAATAAAAAGAGCGTGGGTTAGCTATTGAAAATCGTCGCTTGGTATCTATGTTATAAAATTTGTTTCATAACTAAAAACATTAGTTATCTAGTCGAAATTTAATTATGGCATATATAGATCAGAGTAGTATTTTAGTGAATTAATTAGAACTTGAATATGACCTACTAGAAATCATGTATAAAAAAGAAACCTAATGAAGCTCATTATCATTATAAATTTCTTGTGAGAATTACGCCGCCGCAAATCTAAAACATTTCGTAGATAAAAGTTAATGTATTGACTTAACGTCATAGCAGACTGGTTATTTTCATGATGACAAATAATAGTCGTCACTAAAAAAAAATGGATTCGAACTTTTATTCGCCTTTCAATTTAATATTGAATACAAGTGCATGCATTTTAATTTATTATTTTCTTGCTTTTATATTTTTTTAATATTTTTCTTTTCAAAACAAAAATTTAATGGTCAAAGATTATATAGATTGTGATTCATTGATACTACTATAATTTCGTGATAATAAAAAAAAATTTGGCAGAGAAATTTCGCTTCGCATATTTCAAATCAACATTCAATGAAATTTATCTTAAATTCGAATGTTTTCATCTAGTTAAGGAAGACTCTACTAATTTTAACAATTGACCCAATGAAAATATAAAATTATTTAAATTTAAAAACATTTTAAAATCGAAATTATCCTTCTATAAAAAAAAAAAAGTAAAAAAAAATGTAACTTCAATCGTTAAATTATGTATTAAATAATATAATGTTTAATATCTGAGAAGTTTTGAACATATAATTTGTTAGATGGCCTTATATAATATTAAAAATTAATTATGGGTACAAAACATAAATTAAAATTTCACATTTAATAATTATAAATACCTTTGAATATTATTTACTTTATATCAAACTCTAGTACTATAAAAATAAGTAAGTTAAATTATTTCGATTTATTTAAATTGATTTTAGTTAATTTGTTAAAA